TGTGTATGTGCACCAGTTCACTGCACAACAACCAAACTGTTCCTATTGAATCTACACACAAAGCCAGTCAAAGCTGAAGGCAGCAACACCCTGGAAATAAATGAGAACTGTATGTAGAGAGCTCACAAATCCTACAGAACTGAAAAGAAACTCGGACTCAAGGCTTGTAAAGACCCATTCCAAGAATTTTGCTATGTACCAGGAGAGATGCAAACATGTTTGAAGAGAACCTATTCCTAACTCAAAGCAGTCTCAAAAGCTCTGGACTAACAGAATCACAGAACAGCTGGGGCTGCGAGGGAGGACTGGACATCACCTGCCCTGTGCTCCCGCATGAAGCAGGCTCAGCCAAAGCAGGTTGCCAAGGATCCTGTCTAGGCAGCCTGAGCATCTCCAGGCACAGAAACTCAGCCATGGCTCTGGGCAGCCTCTCTAGTGCTTGATCACCCTCAACATTAAAACAGGCTTTTCTCGTGTCTGAACAGAATTTCCTGTAGTTCCCTAAAATATTATTGAGCAAAGCTACAAGAATCTCCTTAAAGACTTTGCAAAGTGAACGAGCACCTGGAGATGAATAATGGAACCAATCAGATTGTCACTAGACATGAGCTGCATTCTTTTCCCACAGCCACTGAGGCTGTGCCAGACTGAATGAAATCAGAAGTGAATGAAGTGCAGACTATACCAGTAAAACCCAACCTGTTCCATTTAAGCCTATAATGGCATTTACAGTCAAACAGGGGTTAGGAACTGAATCTTCCAGTTCTTACCTGCTTTAATTGAGCAGTTCTACTGAAAGCAACAAGGCCATTACCTTTTGAAGATGAAGTTGGTATACACTGTTTTCCCAAACCACAGCATTTCACAATCATTTCAGCTTGGCAGTGCCCTTTAGTGTATAGTATGGTATACAGTATAGTATATAGTATATAGTATAATATAAAGATTATATCTAAGTGAGTTAATGAAACAGCACATATGGGGATCCTGTGAGGTTTCTTTTAACAGAAACATTAAATTACACCTCAAATTTAAAAAGACAACTGTCATGGAACCATTTTCCTTCTCTTAGCAGTAGCTGGAATTCTAAACTCAAGTTAGCTTGGTAGTAGAAGATTTACAGATTCCAAGTATGCTTGTGGGTTTTACATGCATTTGGAAAGCTGGGAGGAGTGAGGATTATTAACTTGCAGGGAAAAACGTTCCCTCTGGAGAGCTCAATTACTCACTTGTTGGAGGTAGTGAATTTGCCTAAAGAGGCAGAAATAAGAGCAGTTAAGGGACATCAGGCAGGGTGTTCAGAAGAGACAACAGGTAATAAACTGCTCAATGGAGATGTTCAGAAAGCAGTGCTTCTGCCAGAGGTCTCTGGGATCCCCCCTTTACCCCCTGTGACTGAGCTACTGCCTGAGGGAGAGGGGGGAAGTGGTGGTGCTGGTGCTGTCTTTTCCATCAGAGGAGTTTGAGATAATTAAAGATAGTGGGGCACAAGAAAGAGGGGAGAACTTATTAATAAAGGGCAGTAAACAGTGGATGCCAGGAGCTTTGACCCTGCAGGTGTTGGGACAGCTCCATGGGGTGAGTCATTGGGGCTTTCGAGGATTGGCAATGTTCTTCAAGATGTACTGCATTGGGTATTTTTGTTTTAGCAAAACATGCTAATAATGAGGGGTGTCTGGCTAAAGTATATAGCCAGACTATAAAGGAAATTGCAAGGCAGGGAAATGACCCTGGGCTCTATGTCCTTTCCAAGGATAGGACATATTTTACTAAGATACCCTGGGCAAGAGGGCTTAGATATGCTCGGGTAGAGGTATGCTGGCTGGCAAGGTGGCCAGATGAGTTTCTAGCTGCTTCAGCAACTATTTGATCATTGTGAGAAACAAGGCTAACTCTTTAAAATTTTTAAAGGTTTTATAAGAGATAATAAGGGATAAAGCAAAAGTAACAGCATTGGGTGCATAGCCAGATGCACACGGTTAACTCTAACAACTCTTCTTATATACTTACTTTTTCATTGCATTAGTCAAATGCATATTTATGACAATTACACATATTCAAACCTTCCTTTGAGTTTACATGTTCCAGGAATTCTTTATCTTAGTTCAACCCCTGACCTCAACTTCTTAAAGAGTACATGCAACAAAGCAGATGTAATTTTGAGAGTCTTGTATTTAATTTATTTCCTCAAGCGGCCCCCTGGTGTGTGGTTAGAGTTATTGATAGCCGAAGGGTCAATGGTAGATTTTTCCTTGCTCTTTTGGTGTTACTTGCCTGGTTCTTTTCAGTTATCTTATCATACAGACATTGTAGCCATTTTTACAAGTACTTCCTATCAACATTAGCTTCACTACTTGTCAGTTACAAAAGTAAAGCTACAATTACTTCTCCAAAAGTTAATGTTACAATACACATTACATAGCCTCTATTTTAATATTTTGTCAAAGCCTAAACTATAATATATAACACACCAAGATATACAATCTACACAGGGATTAGGGTATTAACCATAAAAGGCTGACAAATTCTACTGTATCAAAGGCAGTTAGAGATTACAAACTGTACTATATCAAAATAGTTTACTGAAGTCAATAATAGCGAAAGCCAATAGCTACATAAATTATTCATAACAATCAGTTAACAAATGGTTTCTGAACATGGGATTGTGAAGGCAGTAGACTTGGACAGGGGAAGCTGGTTTTACAGGGGGATACTTCAAGGGATTATAGCTGCTTTGAGATTTCAGTGGGACCTCCATATTCCCTGGCACCCTGAGAATTCAGGCCAAGTAGAAAGGATGAATGGACGAATAAACACTCTTTGAAGCTATTAACAGAAACTAAGATGCCCTGGGCATGGCTTTTGCCATTAGGTTTGGCAAGATAAGAGCCAAAGCCGAGGGAATATTCAATTATTCCCTTTTTAATTGTTTGGGATTCTTACCTTGTTCATTTTCAAGGTAGCAGGGAGAAGAAGATGTATATTTAAACTAGTGTGTGGCCAGGATACCGTGTCTTGTGAAATCTCTTTCAACACGAAGCCCAGTTAGCACAGATGCTGCCTTTGGACTTTACTGTTCATAAAATCCAACCGGGACTGCAGAGAGAGCAGCCAGGAGAGCTGAACACGGATCGACCCATCCCACTTCAGTCAAGGTCACGAAAGCCCTGGAGATTTGGACTTCTCAGCTAGAAGAAAAGGATGGGAGACTTTGGTTATCAGTACCCAAAGTGATTAATGGGTTAATATAAACTGTTATTATCTACTTCATTCTCTGAATTTACTTGCCACACCTAGTGCAGGGACCAGACAAGGAAAAGTCAGCAGGGGGTGTAAAGACAAATTGAGAAATAAGAAGAGTAGGAACTGAGAGGAAAGATCTGTGCTAATGTCTTTACAATTAACTGAAATGGGTCTTAATGCCTCTACTGACTTTGGGCAGCAGGTTTGCTGCAGAGGTCAGAGAGTTTGGCTCCTGAGACAGACAAGTGGGCCTGTACAAGCCTGAACTTCGGAACTTTGGGGTAGAACTGGAGGTTTAAAGGGGGATATGGAGTAGGCGGTTCAGGAAGGCTGTACCTCAGCCAAAGGGGAAAGGCAGAGGGCAACATGCGGCCAGGAGCTCAGGATAAAAGGAGGCTGCTCCCTCCAAAACCCTGAGAGAGAAAACCCCACGGCCATTTGCGCGGGTGGACTCCTTTCCTTTATTCGAATAAAGGCAAAGGACTCCTCTGTCTCCTTTTTGGACATAAACGCTAACGTTTGTGGATTTTCCTGACACCAGGAAAGCGTGGAGTTGCCCCCTCTGGAGACATCCCAAACCCACCTGGATGTGGTCCTCTGTCACCCCTCCAGGTGACTCCTTGGCAGGGGGGTTGCACAGGATGATCTCAACTCGACCGATTCTCTGATTCAGCTTCCCACACACACCAGCTGCTCCCACACCTCTTCCGCTCTCCCACATCCCGCGGGGGTCATGCCCCTCTCCCCGGCACCTTCCCTCCAGCCCCCATCGACCCCTCCGACCTCCACACAGCCACCTCCCGGCTCTCCCTGACCCCAGCCGTCCCCACAGACCCACCACCGCCCAGTCCGGCCACCCTTTCGCCCTCACCCGTCGGGGGGGGCAGTGCTTTGTCTCCCCCCCAACGCTGGCGCTGGCACTCGCACCCAAGATGGCGGTGTGGGCGGAGCCGCCCCCCCCCCCCCCCCCCCCCACAAGCGGCCCTGGCGGAGCGGCCGCTTCCCTGCCCGCCGCTGAATGGAGCCATGTCCAGGCCGGAGCGGGCGGGAACGGCGTCGGAGATGGTGAATGTGGGCAACACGTTCTGTGCCAGCCATGGTGTGGCAGCAGGGCCAGGGCAGTGATTGTCCCCCTGCATTCGGCACTGGAGAGGCCACGCCCTCGAACTGTGTCCAGTTCTGGGCCCCTCAATTCAGGAAGGACACTGAGGGGCTGAGGTGTGTCCAAAAGAATGTCTTAAAGTCCCTTCATCATTTCCCCTTCTCCCATTTGACCTGTCTGCGTGGAAATGAGGAACTGTTTGCATCCCCAACCAAAACAGAGAAGCTATTTAGACTAAGACGTTTTTCCTGACTTCGACTATGCAGAACACACAGTGATTTTCCTTTCACTGAACAAAGAGGAAGAGTTTCTGATGGGATTCCTCAGTTTAGACCTTTCTGAAAGTTACTGTGCGTGCCTTGGTGCTTTGGGGTTGTACCGCAAAGCCAATGCAGAAGGATGACTGCAGCCAGAGAAAGAGGGGGCTCGCACCTGGCCCTGCCGAGCCGAGCCCGGCCAGCCCCGGAGCCGCCCCGCCCGCGCTGTGCCCGCAGCCCCGGCTCTGCCGCGCTCGTCCCCGCCAAGTCCGGCCCGCGCCGGGGCCGCGCTGGGCGCGCGCGGGCCCGAGCGCAGCGCCCCCCTCAGGCCGCGCGCCTCCGGCGCAGCCGCGGCCGTTGCGCTGCGGGCGTTGTGGGCACAGTCGGCGATCGACGCCATGGCGGAGCTGCCGCTGCCCGCCGGGCTCAGCGCCAGCACCTTCCCCGCCAAGCTGTGGCGCCTGGTGAACAGCCCCCGCGTCCGCTCCGTGCGCTGGGACAGCCGCGCCCAGGGGCTGCTCGTCGACCGCTCCCTCTTCGAGCAAGAGCTGCTCAGCTCGGGCGACGCCCACAGGGCGGGCACTGAGGGGGCGGGACCAGCCCCGGACTCCTTCCAAGCCACGCACTTCGGCAGCTTCGTGCGGCAGCTCAACCTCTACGGCTTCCGTAAAGTGCCGGGCTGGGTTGGCTCAGATGAGCCGGGCGATGCCGGGGGCTGGCTTCACTTCAAGAACCCCAACTTTCGTCGCGACCGCCCGGACCTCCTGCTCCGCATCAAGCGCCTGACCAGGGCCAACAGGCAGCGGCTGGCGGCGGGGCTGGACGTGCGCAGCCGCCAGCCCAGCCGCTTCCAGCAGCTCCACAATGAGCGGGCGGTGCCCTCCTTCCCCGCCGGGCAGCCGCCCAGAGCCGGTGAGACGGGGTGGGAGCTGCAGGCGAGGACGGTGGCGTGGGCTGTGGCCGTGGGCACTGCCCGGCGGGGCAGGAGCGGGCCCTGCCCGTGCTGGGGCTGCGCAGCGCAGCTGCCCCGGCTGGCACAGGGGCTGTCCTTGGGCCAGGCAGCTGTGCCGGCAGGGCCCGGGAGCTGTGCCGGCTCTGCCGGGCTGCCGGGGCTGCGGGACAGTCCCGCCGCGGCTGGCGCTGCTCCTTGTCCTGCCCTGGGATGCTTGGGGAGCTCTCCGTGAGTGCGTGTGAGCTGAGAGCTTTCTTTGGCTCAGCTGGAGCGAGCCTCCTGTCCCTCCGGGGCACCAGAGAAAAGACCTGCCAGTTGGGTTTCTGGCAGCTGCCTCCTGCCAGGGTAGGGCAGCGGGACAGTTTTCCCAGACAGTTGAATGAACAGGGGAGAGTTCAGTAGACAAGGAACTGCTAGTTGAATAGCTCCAGAACATGTTTGGTTCTTTTTTCTTCTTTCTCACCCTGCTTGGGAGGATGGGAGCTTTTGTCTTCCCTGATAGAAGTACAGTTGCTGCCAAGGGAAACACACCCAAAGACCAATAGTGACCAAGCCTTCCCTTGCTTCCTTTCTTCTTCTCTCACTCCTACACAGTGCTCTCGTACCACAACCTTGCTGCTGCCTCATCTCAGGGTTTAGAGCTGCTTCCAGGCCCTTCCAGGCTAAGTGCAGGTGCTCAGGAGGCTGATGTTTTCCTAAGATCACCCAAGAAAGTCTTTGCCACATCTGGACTTCCTGGGATTTCATCGGAGGAACCAGGCACGGGCAAATTTCAATTCAGCCATGAGCTCATCATTCCACTGGTTCCCATGAAGCTTAAATGCCAGCCTGAGCTCATCGTTCCTCTGGTTCCTGTAGACCATCACAACCCTTCCATGGTCTCTTCAGAGAGGAGCAGCTGCACATCTTCAGAGCAGCAGTTGCCAGCCCTCAGCCCATCAGGTAGGGAAAGAGCTTCTACCCTTGCTTTCCAAGCAGGTCCTGGTTAATGACCCTTTAAAGTGTTTTCCTGCAGTGCTCTATCATGGGTAGATCTCAAATGAGAATCAGGTAGAAAGTGTCAAGTCGTCTAGGAAGGGGGACCTTGAAAACAGAAAGATTCTCTGCCTGCTTTTCCTGTCCTTGCTGCAGATTTGGAGGATGTTTTGGGTGTTTTATTTCCAGACAGGCTCTGTGAAGGGGTAGAAGGGCAAGGTGAAAGATATTGCCTAACAAGTGGTCAGTGTTAGGTGCACTCTCCTCTTTCTTTGAATGAAGCCAAACTAGGACTCTGATAGAATATGGCAGATGTTTAAGACTGCCTGCCCTGCAAATCAAGGCGTGCCATTGAAATGAGCTCTGTGTGCCCCACAACAGCTGCAGCTGCAGAATATGGCCTCACCCTCAAGGTTGTTTTTAGAAAAAACTCACACTTTAATTTCAGTGTGTGTGTGCAGATCTGGGCTCTTCCTGGGTGCATCCACTTTCTGTGGTCGATTGTGATGAGAAAGTCAAGCAGCCAAATCCTCAAGCTGCTGGGAAAATGCAAAAGACTGTGATTATAAGGTGTTTGTGTGTGTCTGTGTCTATATCAGATTTCCAGTCCATGCTTTAATCTATGTACATGTCAATTAGGATAAATATTGTTAAGAGGAAGAACTCACTCCTCCAATCCCCTGGGAAGTCTGAATACATTTCTGGAACAGAGGTTGCTGTGTGCTTCCTGTGATGTTTGATGCAAGGCAGCACCAGAGCTCTGTGTCCCAAAGACACATCGTGGAGCCTGACCAATGTGTTTGCACTCCTGCAGCCAGGCCAGGCACTTCAGCCCCCAGCACTCCAGCTGGCAGTGCAGGTTTTGCAGCATGGACAGCCCCCAGCTGGCTGTGGAAAACTCCTGGGGAAGAGGAATTGCCACCGCCAGATCTGGACATGGTGCTTGAGACATTGGAGGAGATGTTTTCTCCCTCTGCTCAGGTAACTGCATTGGGCAGGGAACAAAGGGGCTGGACTGAGAACTTGTGCATGTTGTTGCATGGCTGAGAAGGAAAAGCTTCTTGAGTTCAGCTGTGAATGGACAGGGAAGGATTTGCTTGGTGAAAGAAGATTTCCAGAAGAAAAGGGAATGAAAAAGGGGGATAGCCCTTAAATGAGGGTGAAAGGCGATGGCCACGTTTGGGTGCTTGTTTTCCTGGGAAGAATCCCTGGTGCAGGGGCATTTGTGGTGAGGAGGTGGAAGCTTGGTAGGTTCTAAGAGGCTTTGTTTGATGGGAAAGAAGAGAAGAGTGTTTGGAGAAGTGGCACTGAAGGCCAAGTGTCCCGTGCAGGGAGGGGCATGCCAGAGGTGCCTCTGTTGCAGCAGCAGATGTGGGCTGTGCCTCTTTTGGGTGGGAAGGCCAAGGCAAAGCAAGGGCTGGGCTGCAGCTGCTGCTGCTGCTGTGTGAGCCCTGCCGTGCGTGTAGGCACTCCCAGAGCCGTGGCTGGGGCTGGCCTGGAGCTGCAGCTTTCTTGTCCTCTCAGGAAGCTGCTGCCTGCAGCCCAGTTTCCATCTGGGAAATCCTCAGCTGGGCAAACTGGCCAGTCTTGCTGTCCATGTTGCAGAGCTCAGTCCCCTTGCTCTTGGGCATCTCTGTGGGAAGAGATGTGTGTTCCCATGCTGTCCCTGCCAAGCTGCAGCCTGGATGAGACTGCTGTGCTCAGGGCTGTGGAGGGAGGAGCACATCCCTGTGCCAGGAGCTGGCAGGACTCCTTCCTTAGCAGCCATTCCACGTGTTCAGTGTCACCCCCATGTTCAACCCTGTCAGCTTTGACAGCTTTTGGACTGTGTTTGAGAAGTCAAATCTTTCTGACTGTTGAAGGGCTTTGGGGCCCAGAGTTCTTGTTAGGAACAAGGGATTAAGTGTGTGAGCCATTGGACCAGGTGTTTTGTGTAAGTGGTGAGAAGGGTTTCTTCCTTTCTGTTTCTCTTTCAAGGGGAATATTACTGTTGGCCCTGAGTCTTCAGGAGGGGAGCCTGTGGACAGAGCTGCAGCAGAGGGAGCTTTGCCTGGCACCGAGAGCTGCAGGAACAATTCCCAGGAGCCCGAGGAGCTTGGTAAGGACAGAGCCCCCATTGGTTTAGAGAGCTGTGAGATGGCTGCTCTGAGCTTGCCTCTGGCAGCAAGGGAGGTGAGAAGAGTTGAGTTCCTGTCTGCAGGCTTGGTGCTTCCTGGCGCCTTGAGTTCAAATCCTGCACGGGCACAACCTGCCTGAGCCCTGCCCTCCACGCTTCTGCAGAGGCTCTGACACTGAGTCCTCTGCTGTGGCAAGAGAGCAGGGAATAAACCTGACTTTGTGGCACTTGTGTCACCAACTCGGGTGTCCCAGTTTTGTGCTGATGTCCATGGATAAGTTTGCTGCAGGGTGTCAGTGCTCTGGAGGCAACACTGAGTGACTCTTGAAGCAAGAGAGGAAAAGCCCAGCAAAAAGTCAGTGTAGAAGTCTGAGCTTTTTGTCTCCAAGCATTAAATCAATGTAGTACCACCAGTCTGCTGATAGCTGTAGTGAGATACATTAAAAATACAAGCAGCAGAAGCTCTGAGGCCAAGGAAATCATCAGTCACAAATCCAGTAGCTCAAGGAAAAAATGAAATTATCCCTTTAAATTGGCGAGAACTAAAGGAGAGAGAGAGCACTTTGGATCTGCATTCTTAAGCAAAGCTGGTGCAGCCTGCAGACCTCGTAGGGAGCTCAGTCCCTCCCAGCCCTTCCTGCCAGAGCTGATGGTCAAGGTGGAGCAGCTGCTGCTCACTGCAGAAGGCAGTTTGTAGATGCCAGGTAATGGAGCTGGTTCATGACTCAGCTCCCAGCACCTTCAGCTTCAGCCATTTCAGTAAGGACTGAGGTCTCTCTGTCAGCACAGAGAAAGAAGAAGGCTGAGTTTCTCTGTGGCAGCTGGGACTGGCTGTGTTTCAAGCTCTTGGGGGTGCCCTTTGTACTGCAAGGGCTGAGACTTTATTGGGATTCTTAAAAACTTCAGAAGTTTTGAAAGCTTGGAAGGATCCCTGTTCTTTAAAGAGCAGGTCTGAAATTGTCAAATAAGAGTCTGCCTTTCAGGCCATTTTTTCAGTCTTTGATAGAAGTACAGTTACTTCAAAATGGAAAGATGCTCAGAGGCCAATATTGACCCAGTGTTCCCTTTGTTTCCCAGATATCCACCTGATCTACCTCGCCAGGAGGGCTGCCCTGCGTGAGAAGAAGAATCAGAGGGAGAGCCTGTGACCATCGGGCAGGTGGAATCCCTCCATTTATACATAGATTTATAGATTTCCATAAGTCTATTTGTATATCCCAATAGTTATATTTATAGATTTATACAGGTGTGTTTATATAGTAAATCAATATAGATAATTATATATGTATTTTTAAATATACATATTATAAAATATATATGTATATATTTTTATATATAGTTATATTTATAGATTTATACAGGTGTGTTTATATAGTAAATCAATATAGATAATTATATATGTATTTTTAAATATACATATTATAAAATATATATGTATATATTTTTATATATAGTTATATTTATACATTTATACAGGTGTGTTTATAGTTAAATCAATATATATATTTTTTTTAATAATTGCATCACATTTATAGATGTTATGGAATTTTATATTTATATATATGTAGCTACATTTATAGATTTTGAGATTTACATTTATATGTGTATAGAGTAACATATATATATTTATGCATAGAAGTGCATAGCTATTTAGTTAGAGGTATGTGGAAGTTTAGATGCATAGATTGAGCTGTGTAGGCCTAGGCTGCATTTTTAGCTCTTTCCCCCCTCAGCTGCCTTTTTCACCTCTTGCTTTTCCCCCGGTGCCCCGTGTGTCCCCTGTCCCTGTGCTGGATCCGAGCTGGCGGCCGGGCCGGGCGGAGCAGCACTTCCAGCCCCGGCTGTCCCTGGAGCGGTGGGAGCTGCCGCTGGCCCCAGGCACTGTCCCCTGAGGAGCTGCTGGAGGACGGTGAGACAGAGGGGGCTGAGGGGGCTGAGGGGGCTGAGGGGGCGGTGGCGCCGAAGGGACGGTGACCCTGAGCTGCTGCTGGGGCTGAGGGCTGTGGGGCAGCCGAGGGCCATGGTGGCACTGAGGTGACAGGGAAGTGGCACAGGCTGAGGGGCTGGCGGGTCTCAGGGGACGGGATGGCTCAGAAGGGACTGAGGGGGGTGAGAGGGACTGAGGGGGGGGCTGAAGAAACTGAAGGGGGCTGGGGCTTCACCGAGAGCATGGCAGGGCTGAGGGGATGGAGGGGGCCAGCAGGGAGCACAGAGGGCTCCGGGACTGCAGCTGTGCCAGGCCTTGCAAGCAATTCCAGAGCCTCCACTTTTGCCAAAGCTGCAAGGAAGACCTTGAGGACAGCTGGAGACTGACGGGAGCCAGCAGGGAGGAGCTGAAGGCCGGCAGCAAGAGCAGTGAACGGGGACCTGCTGCTGCCAGCCTGGAGAGAGCCCGGCTGAGGCCACAGGCCCGGGGAGGCAGGCTGGGGCTGAGGCTGGCGTGGGCTGTGGCCGTGGGCACTGCCCGGCGGGGCAGGAGCGGACCCTGCCCGTGCTGGGGCTGCTCAGCGCAGCTGCCCCGGCTGGCACAGGGGCTGTCCTTGGGCCAGGCAGCTGTGCCGGCAGGGCTCGGGAGCTGTGCCGGCTCTGCCGGGCTGCCGGGGCTGCGGGACAGTCCCGCCGCGGCTGCGCTCACCACAGCCTGGCCCGTTCGGCTGCTTTCTCTTTCTGACCCCCCTGGGGAGGCTCTGACATTTCCTCTTCCCTGATGGAAGTGCAGCTGCTGCCGAGGGAAACGTGCCCATACTCACTCAGTGTTCCCTTTGCTTGCCAGATGTCCCATCTGCTGTCGCTGTCTGGGAGAGCTGCTCTGCACGGGAGGAGGAGACCGAGGGAGAGGCTTTGAAGATGGGGCAGCTGGGATCCCTCTGCTTCGACTGTTGTTTAAGGATAGATGGACTTGCACGTGGACAGGGATTATTTCATATGTATTTCCATATGTGGGTTGCTATTTGTATAGGAATATTTCTATCTATATGTAGTTATATGTATGGATGTATGCTATATGTATATGTAAGCATATATATACATATATGTCTGTAATTACATATATGTGTATATTTGTATCTAAGTATACATGGATATTGTTATATCTGTCTTTAGTTCTACTTCCTAGGTTTACAGCTTTGAACATATCTCTTTATATTGATGCAGGTATAGGTATATGGTTTTTAAATAGGTATTTTGGTATTTGTATTGGGACATATGTGTACTTTTATATGTATATTGTTCCATTTCTGTCTATTTATTGATATTTACATACGTGTCCAGATGTATAGCTCTCTGTTTGTATTGATGCATTGGGTGCATATTTAGCTTGGCAGAGTGATATTTGTATAGGTGCAGATAGGTTTGCTTTGTTTATCTACTGATATATATATTTTTATATGTATATTTTATGTAGTATGTGATGTTTAATCTATATTTACATCTGTAGATTGTTATAGTTATATATGTATTTATATATGTGCATATACATATGTATTCTATTTAAAGATGTATGCAGGGTATAGTTGTGTAACTCTATTGAATTCTTAGTGTAGGGCTATTTAGAGAGGGAATGTGTATTTTTGTATTTCTATATGGGCTCTATGTTTTTAGTAATATGTAATAAATTAAGTTGTTAAACGTCTAATTGATCTTTGTGTCTAGTGAGTTCTGTATAGTAGAGGTTGCCAATAAATTAAGTTTTGTTAAGTGAATTTGGTATTTGTATATTTTAAATGGACTGGTTGTAATAATCTAATAAACTCCTGGTTTTTTACCTAAATTGAGATTTGTATAGTTCTCTATTGTCAGCGTGGGTGTAGCAATTGCAATTTGTAATAAATGACATTTTTCAACTGAAATTGATTCTCGTGTATTTGTTGATCAGCAGTGCGGCTGTGGCAATCTGCAAGAAATGCCATTTGTCAGCTGCGATGGGTGTTCTGTGATTTGTGCTCTCCAAAGCCATGAGCAGATGTAAATGCTGGAGGATTTTGGCCATGCAAATGTCCAGCCATGCCCAGCACATGCCCCACCTGCACTCAGGCTGGGCAAGGGAAGCGCAGATTTGGGCTGGCAGCAGAGCCCCCCGTTGGCTCAGAACTCGCTGCAGAGGCCTGCTGAGAAAACTCCTGGAGTCCGCTGAGAGCACAACTCCTGCTCTGTGGATATGCAGATAATTCAGTCCATGTTTGGTTCTTTACATACAGACACACAGATATATGTAGGCAGCACTTAGTAACCTGTAAAATACTCAATTATGGGAGCTGAAATGGATTTTTCTCTGTTTATAGGGTCTTCAGAGTTGTGCCATTCTGTGGCCATCCTGTAACAGGCAATGGTTTCTGTGTCTAAGCAGTGCAGTTGTAGCAATCTGTAATAAATTTCCGTTTTAAACTGACATTGGCTTTGGGGCACTTCTCATTTCTGTGATGAGTGACCACATCAATGTTTGTCCCTGTTTCTTCACTGATCCTGAAGCTTTGATGAGTGTAGGACAGGCTGTGGCACCCAGTTCCTCACAGGTCTGTCCAGCTCTGGGTAATAGACCTGTCTTGTCTGTGAAACATCCATCTGAGGTTATTTGTCTGAGAGCTGTGTCCATCTCTAGAACCCCCTCAGGCAGCACCGTGGCTGGGGAGGGGATGGGAAAAGTGTAAGGGGATTCTGGCATTTATTCCCTTTTAACACATATTTGCACTCAGCTGTAGCCTAAACTTAGTAAGGAAAAGGACAGACTTTCTTTAGTCATGCAGTGTGGGATAAATGGTGTGGGAATAGCCACAAACCAAGCTGCAGGAGCAGCTTCTTCTTGGTCTTAACAGGACATTGTGTACAGGAAAGCACCACCACCTTAATGATTCACCTGTTAGGTAAAGCCACAATGGTTCACCATGTAAAACTACCTGGGGATGGAAATAACAAACATCCCTGGGCTGGGGCAGAAGCCTAGGAGTCAAACGCTTGGAAAAAGAGACCTGGCAAAGCCAGCCCAAGGCACAGGCTCGCGTTTGGCTCCAGGCAAGAGGGAGCTTGTACTGCCAGCACGGGAAGGGACTCCAGGCAGAGGAGCTGGCCGGCGGCAGGGAGCAGCTCCTGCTGTCAGGACTCGCAGGACACAGGAGTAGTGAGCACATCGTGGATGGACAGCGGAGCTGCTCCTGAGCCGCCAAGGTGACCCCTCCTGGGGCTGCAGGCACAGCGCAGTCACCTGTCCTGCATGCTCCCTTTGGCTTCTTGAGCTCCAACCACTCCAACAAAGCAGACCTGATCATAAATTATAAAAATTATAAGACATCAGAACTAGTTGGCCACTGCTAATAGTGGATTTTTAATTTCTTTGACTGTCTCTGCATTAGTACCATCTGTGTTTCCAAAGGTAGTGCTCAGCATTTAGAGCCAAGCTTTCTCTGCTTTAGCAGATTTATATACGTACATATATATATGTTTGTAATTTTATATGTTTGTGACATTCATCTGTGCGAAGAAAGGGTAACCTTAAGAAAGTGCACTTGTTTTACAACAGCATGGTTTCATAGAAATTTATTTCAAATTCTTTTCTGAGGTTCCTATACTAGAAAGACACTTTGCTAAAACTAAGGATGGGATGTTAAAAGTTAAGGATGAGAATTGCAGGGCTGGCTTAAAATAGAATCCAAATTTTATTTCATTCTGTGCAATATTTCCATTAAATCTGATTAATATCCAGAAATAAAAAACTAGAAAACTAGATTTCTCTTTTCTTCTTTTTTTTTTTTTTCTAGGAAACAAGACACGTATAATTTTGATTTTTATTTTAAAGACAGTAATCCACTGGACTAATTGATACCTTGGAACTTCTTTATCATTTACAATACCCATGGCTGTCAGGAACAGAAAGGTTAAAGGAAGGGAAGAGAGCAAATCTTTTAAAGCAGTGGCCTGAGAGTTATTTTACATCACTTTCTAATCACCTGGTTAAATACACCATTACCTAAAAACCATGTATATATGTACTTGGTATGAAGTATCAGCTGAATAAATGCTATACATAAACAAGTTCTCATCTACATTTTTTGCTAGCCTTGTTTTCTGTTCTTTCTCACTAAAATCAGGAAGAGAAACATTGCTGCTCTTTGAAAAATTAATCCATTAAAATATTGACAACCTTGAGGTTTGATTTAGGAGTGTACAAACAATAATTTTAATTGTCACCAAAGAGAAACAAAAGTGACATGTCATCTGTGGTAAATGCATCTGTCATCTCTAGGATTTTGTATAGCAGTTAATATGAAGAGCTCATGAATGATGGGGATAAGAGACACTGACCCTTGAGGATTCAAAGAATCATTTAATAACAATAAAAAGAGTTTATCTTGCTCACCTTAAAATGCATTTTATATGGATTAGATTTATACTGATTGAAAACTGATCACTTTTTGTATCCTTCTGAATAATTAATGCTGACTCTTTTAGTCTCAGCCCACAGATTTAAAAGACAAACATTGCTACAGCTTGCAGTATGGAACCAGTATCACTTGATTTGTCACTGAAGTATCAGAAAGTGTTGTAAATGACACAGACTGCCATCGTGAGGCATTCCCAGGAGCTGTTCAGCTTTGCAAGTAAACACAGGTCTGATTTTCAGTCTGTCAGCAAATTTGCTGAGAGCAAAACAAATCTCTGAAATTGCCATGGCTATAAAGAAGAAAATGTGCCAGTAGAAAAAAAAATGATTAACAGATTCTGTAAGAAATCATAAAAGGACAATTAAGCAACATGATGCAGAATTGTAAGCACAAGTGGCCAGTATCATCATATCCTGTTTAGAAAGGCAGAAAAAGTCAGTAAACTACAAAGTTGATTGTTGTACTCATTCGTTTGAGGGTTGCTGAGGCAGCAGCAATGCAGTTCAATATCAAAGCTTTGTTATTGTTCAGACCAAGTTAAAAAATCTCTTGACTATCCATGTGCAGCATGATTTATTTGTTCAGCTAATATTTGTGCTCTTGGTAATAGGGGTAGTGCAGCCATGGATTGTAATAGATAGTTTAGATCACAGACTTTACGGTTTCCATCTAGGAAAAATAATGCTAAAAAAGCTTATTATTCTTCACATTTTATTATTTTAAGCCATCTAAACCAAGAATAATTTTTGCCTAAGTTTTTGTCTTTGCTCTTCTGGGCTGCTCCAAGATTGTATATGAAGGCTTGTCATGTCTCTGTTAACCAGGTATCTAGAATTTAGTTCTGTGGTCTCAGCACAACCATCTAATACTGTTTCAAATGCAAAATCTCCATAAAAAGCCTACAGATACCACCCAAGACCTTTTGGACAGGCAAATAAAAATGGCATCTCCCCTTAAAAATGCTCTCAAACACTCTTAGGCAGCTACATAAAGTTTCTGTAGTAGGACTGCATGTTCGTTGCAGTCATTACTTCCCCCAGTAAAAATGAGGTGTATTACAGTTGATATTTAATAATTTCAGGCTGTACTTTGGTTTCCCATGTACCTGTGCCTCCATGGGAGCTGCGTGTCCAAACTGCCTGTAGAGCTGGTGGAGATCTCATCCTTGGTTCAGGTGCCTTCAAGAGGGCATCTTGATCAATTTAATCGACCTGTGGGATCTGTTGTGCCTTTTTGCTGCTCCAGAAGAAAAAGGGTCTCCCATACACACATGGACCCTACAGACATGGGGTGCAGGGCATGGGTCTCAGGTACAGGAGACGAACTGCTCAGGTGGAAGGTACGCTCATCTTTAGATAGATATAGATATAGATATAGATAGATATAGATATAGGTATAGATATAGATATATAGGTATAGATAGGTATAGATATAGATATTTATAGGTATAGATATAGATATAGAATATATATAGATGATATAGATATAGATATAGATATAGATGAAAATCTAGTTCAGCTCAGAGGCGTGAGGGGCCACAGGAGATTTTGGCAGCTGCAGAGGTGCTCAGCTGGCACTTCTGCTTGTAACTCCCAGGGTAAAACCAGGAGGCTTTGTTGAGGAGGTCTCCTTTGATGGGAACACAGCTTCACAGAGGGCACTGACTTTAGGAGTCTGACTTTTGAAACAAATTAATCCTTTGCTGAATCACTGTGATATTTGGCAGGTATGAATGGTTATGCTGAAACTCACTTAAGGAGAGGGTGACACATGTATGTGACGTAGCAATAAAAACCAAAAAACCCACACAAGTGGGATGCACTTTCTGACTCTTCGCTGTGAGCTGTTGTGCACTGGCAGTTCATATACAGACACAAATGGGACGGGGCCACTGGGATCAGCGTCCTGAGCTATTTATTTTCAGCATCAGTCTCATTACAGGGTTATGGCAATGAAGAGATGCTAACAGCTCGCTGGTCAGGCAGCAGGGCAAAGAAACTTAATGTTACAACATACCATAAATGTGTCTCAGCCAATTACATAGAGCAAAAGCATACTGACAGTAGTTCTATCCAATCACCTTAAGCACACATAGCTTTGGTTAAAACAATAGTGGCCTATTCTCGCATACAATGGCCCGTTTATAAGAGAAAAAGCACAGAGCACTATTCATATTTAACCTTCTAAATATCTACTAAATAAACTTGTTGCAACTTAGAAAGCCAAACTACACAGCTCTATTGTTCTATTTCCCATGTCTTCGCTACAGCTTAGATATCTTTTCTGCTGCTTTAGCAGTGTTCAGTATTCTGCTGTAACTGAGGCCTGTCTTCTGCAGTTTTCCCAAAACCTTCTGATTTTATGGATTCCCACAGCTGTCAGCATTTTCGTCCCT